AAAAAAAAAGTCCTTTTTTTACCAAACAGAGAGGACACTCCACTCTGAATAATGAGAATGGGGTAATTATTGCCCAGTTCATCACTGGTGAAGGCAGAACAGTAGGTGCCTAACTCAGAACAAAGGTGAGGAGAGGGAGAGAGAAAGGAGAAAGGAAAGAAGATAAATGTTTGAATCACCTTTTGAGCAGACTTCCTTGTGCATTTTAATTTTTCAGAGTTAACCCTTGCACTTTGGTTCAGGCTTCAGCAGACGTGGTTGGTTGGTTGGTTTGTTTTTACGCTAATCTATCTTAAAGACTCGTGGCTGCAGATGCTTTAACAGATTCGTGGAGTTTTTCATGAGTGAGTCCATTATTGCTGGTGGTCCCATGCCTTCTACTGAAAATTGGTATTTATTTAACCATTCTCTAACTCATATTTCGATTCTGTCTACCATCTTATGAGCTATGGGATCATGGGTTCCTCACATACTTCCCTGCACGTATGTGATTATTCCTGGAGAACAGATTCCTACGGTTCTGAATCAGAGGGTAGCATTTGTATTAAAAATTTTCATAGGGGCGCACCTGGGTAGCTCAGTCGGTTAAGCGTCCGACTTCAGCTCGGCTCCTGATCTCATGGTTCGTGAGTTGAAGCCCCACGTTGGGCTCTGTGCTGATAGCTCAGAGCCTGGAGCTTGCTTTGGATTCTGTGTCTCCCCCTCTCTCTCTCTCTGCCCCTCCCCCTGCTTGCACTCTGTCTCTCTCTTTCTCAAAAATAAATAAACATAAAAAAGTTAAAAAAAATTTTTTTTCATAGACACTACAGGTTATCTGCCAAAAAGGTTGTACCATCATATACTTGTATCAATGGTGTGTGAGGGTGTTTTCCCCCCTGATCCTTAGTCACATTGGATTTTATCCATTCTGGGTGGTCTTCTGTCTGACTGCCAGAAGGTGGCATCTTTTTTGACATTTTCCTCATTATTCATGAATTTGAGCTCTCCATGGTTTATTAGCCATTTGAATTGCCAGCGTCTATTAGTTGTGGCTCATATCCTTTGTCCACTCTCTGTTAGTGATGTGTCTTTTTTCTTATGAATTTGTAGATGCTCTGAATCAAGTGGTCTCAGCCTTGGGAGTATTGACATTTGGGGCGGGACGTTTCTTGGTTGCGGGGGCCATCCTGGGCCTTTTGAGATGTTTAACAGCATCGCTGACTTCTACCCACTAGGTGCCAGTGGCACACCACCACTTGTATTCATGATAACCAAAAGGGTCTCCAGACCATGCCCGGTGTCCCCTGGGAGCGCCAGGTCACCCCAGCTGAGAACCACCGACCTAAATGATATAATAGGTGTAGCACGTATTTTCTCCAAGTCCGCTGTTTGTCTGTGTATGGTGTCTTTTGCCGTACAGAAGTTCTTAATCTTAAGAAGTCTGACTTTCCAGTCATTTCTTTCGATGCTAACCTATTTTATAGAGAACAGGGAGCATAGAACATTTTCAAATAAATAAAAGAAATGCTGGGAGAGTGGACTAACTTTGCACGTTGTGTGTGGTCGGAAGCAAATTAGGAAGTGGGAAGGTAGAGAAGAGCCAAATGTTTCCAGCAGGAAAAAAATAAAGTAATAAAATACAAAACACACCACACCTAACTCCTCTCTCAGTGCTGACTCAGGGGGGGAGGTGGGAGCTGTGTTCAGGTTTTTACATAACCGCAGGCAAGGCTATTTTTGAAGAAGGCTGCGTGAGTGCTCCTGACAGCGGGCACCGGGTTTTCAAGCGTAAAAGCAGGGCTGGGCAGGAGGGATCTGGAGAAAGGGGTGGGCCGCCCCCGAGACCTCCCGGCTGGTGGGCAGCAGGGCCCCTTTCTCAGAGATGACACTTCAGCCCCATGGGAGCGAGTGCCTGCATAGTTAGAGGCAGGGACGTGGGACATCTTAGATGTGGCAGCCGCATGGCCACTTGTGCCTCCAGAGGAGCCGTCCTGGTGCTCTCGGCTGCATTGATCTGGACTCCGCTCTGAAGCCATCTCTGTGCTGTGATGCTTCCCGCCGAAAGTGAAGGCTTCTGCGGGCGGCCGAGGGCATTCCAGAGCCTGCAGCCTTTGAAGACCAAGTGCCTGTGACTGGTGGAGAAACCCTAACCTCTCCCAGTTCCGTGGCTGTGGCCTTCGGAATAAAGGGATGCAGATTGCCGTCGTCTGCCTGCCTGAGGCCAGACAGGCCGTCTGAGTCAGGGTGCTCAGGTGCACATCGCGGGCTCCTTGGTACCCAGCTGCACCAGTAGTGCACGCGGAGATGAGAGAAGGCTCTTGAGATGACCCGAACACTTTTCACAGGAGCTTGAGTTACGGCGCTAGAATTGTTTGTGGGTGTTGTTTTGTTTTGTTTTTTAAGTCAGCTCTGTGGAACTCATGACCCTGAAATCAAGAGTCACACGCTCCAGGGGCACCTGGGTGGTTCAGTCATTTAAGCATTGGACTCTTGATTTCGGCTCAGGTCATGATCTCACGGTTCATGGGGTCAAGCCCCCTGTGTCAGGGCTCTGTGCTGATGGCGCAGAGCCTGCTTGGGATTCTCTCTCCCCCTCTCTCTGCCCCTCCCACACTCGCACTCTCAGAATAAATACAGAAACTTAAAAAAAAAAAAAAAAAAAGCCACTTGCTCCACTGACTGAGCTAGCCAGGCCCTCCTATTTGTAGGCTTTTAGAAGCTCCTTAGGAAGAGAAACGGTTGAGCTTGAAGCTGCTTTGTTTTGTTTTAGAGCGGCTTTCGGGTCGCAGAAAGGTTCCGCCCCCAACGCACAGTCTTCCCCGTTAGTCACATCTTGTGTTGGTGTGGTGCTTTGTTAGAACTAAAGAATCTGTACAGTTTGCCTTAGGGTTCGCTCTTTGTGTTGTACGTTCTGCGGGTTTGGACAGATGTGTGATAACACGCACGCACCGTGAAAAGATCACACAGAATAGTTTTGCTGCCCTAAAAATCCTCTGTGCTCTGCTGTTCTTCCCTCCCTCCCTCCTAACCCCCGACAACCACTGGTCTTCTTACTGGCTTTAGAGTCTCGTCTTTTCCGCAGTGTCATATAATTGGGGTCAGACAGCGCGTAGCCTTTCACACTTAGCAATGTACATTTGAGGCTGCCCCAAGTCTCCGGTCCCATAGCTCGTTTCTTCCTGTCACTGAATAACACTCCGTTGTGTGAACGCACCAGACAGTTGGAGTCTCTTTCTCCACTCGCCTGTTGAAGGGCATGTTGGCTGCTTCCGGTTTCCGGACAATTACGAATGAAGCCGCTGTAAACATCCGTGGGCATGGTTTTATGTGGACCTGAGTTGAACTTGTAGCGTTGAAAAGAAAACCCCGAAGTGCCAGTCACGGTGTTTTGCCTTAATGTCCTGCAATGTGGACACTTGGAATTTACTTGACTTTTTTTTTTTCTTCTCTGTCTCAGATTTTTAAAAAATACAATGTCTAATGGTTATGAAGACCACATGGCCGAAGACTGCAGGGATGATATCGGGAGAACGAATTTAATTGTCAACTACCTCCCTCAGAACATGACCCAGGATGAGTTACGGAGTCTGTTCAGCAGCATCGGTGAAGTCGAATCTGCAAAACTCATTCGGGATAAAGTAGCAGGTAAAGGAACCGAGAGGGTTTGCGAGGGGAGCTCGTGGCCCTCCCGCGGGGCACTGCCTCCTTGGCCGGCGGCTCTGCAGTGCTCCTTGGTGCAGAAGGGGCCGCAGCCTTGAGCCGATGGCTGTGAAGTTTCGTTTTTATCTCAGGCTCTACTTTGCCCTGGCCCTGGCGTTAAGATTTGGACATAGGTTCCCAAGAGTTCATCGTAAGCCAGAGTGCGCGTACATACAAAGTGCAGTGGTGGGAGGGGAGGGAAAACGAGGAAAGCCCCGCAATGAGGACCGCTCAGAGCTGTAAGAGATCAGAGAATGACAGCCTGGCCCGGCTCGGTCCCACCTGTGGAAGCGACGCTGGCCCGTGGCAGAACATGAAGCGTCCCCCTGGGCGGCCCTTCCTGGGCTGTGGGCTGTGCTGTTTGCTGTCACGCAGTCACATCAGCTGGAACGTCTGAGACACACGGAGCTTGACCTCTTGTGGAGCCGGAGCAGGGCAGCCGATCAGCAGGCAGGCAGTAGAGTCGGGTGCCGGCTGCCTCCGTGTGCGACCCCTAAGCCTCAGTGGCACCCGACGTAAAGTGAGGATGGTGGCTCCCACATCCTGATCCTTAGTTGCCTCAAACGGGTTTGCAGACACCTGGGAAGGCCATCCTTATGGAGCAGCCTCCGTCCTGAGAGCATGGTTTCAGGGAGCAAAACATGGAAAGACCAGGTGCTACAAAGCACTTCCTTCCTTTTGTCCCCAGGGAGGAGCATTGTTTTAGGGAGCTGCCCTCCTCCTCCTCCCTCTTCCTC